TATTTTGGACTAGGTTGACTTTCAAAAGGTATTTTAATGAACTAGGACAGAAGTTCAACTGTACAAATTGTTTATGATAAACTCAAGAAGATAATTACATACATTTATTGATTTGGTGAGACTACTACACAAAATTTATACTCAAAATTAGTCCATTATATTGAACTATTGAAGAGGGGCCTCCATATGCTTCCAGCAATGGTGGGGAAACAAGCCATGGTGATCTGGGGGCTCTCCCTTCCCCTGTGCTTTTAATGGCTCCAAGACTCATGATATGGGAAGAAAACAGAGGCATAATTTCTATTGTGACTTTTGTATCTAAGTTTGCCAAGTCAAATAGCACTGATTCTCAACATTGCAATGCCTCTGAATCAGAGATTTTGCTTTATGCAGCAGTAGAAAAGCATGGGGGTCTGCCATAATGGCCAGATGTCAGGCACTGGGCAGTTGCGGTGTGGCTGGAGGCTGTCAGGATCAGCTTCTGTTTTTCTAAATTTTGTTCCTCTGGCTTCCTGCTCAACACTGGGTAAGTCCAGCTAGTATTAATATATTTATCCAAAATTTAGTAAGACATGAACATTCTACATTTTTAGAGGTGCAGTTGAGTAACACGAATTTGCAAATTTTAGTCACATATAAAACAACACTAAGTTACTACATCAATGCTGTGAGAGACAGGCTATACAAGTAGTCTATCTAAATTAGTTTTGACACGGGGGAGAATAATGACTTCATTAATCTGAATTAGAATAACCACTTGTTACCCAGAACGAAATTATCATGAGTATTATTCATAACATTTGGAGTCCTCTGAAACAAATACATAGTTTTATATTATAAATAATTTTTATATATACACACACACCCACATACCCCCAAGCAGAGAGTGTTAAAGGAAATACTACCTCTTAAAGCAGTATATTCTTTTTTCCTTTATCAGTATTATTTAGTTAAAATCAATGAAGTTTCAGGGATACAAGACGAGACATATGCTTTAAAAAAAAAAAAAAAAAAAAAAAAAAAAAAAAAAAAGGATGATTGAGGCCCCAGAAAAGATAGTGACAGTTTCTAATAGCTTCTATTACCAGAAAAGCCAACTGTACTTTATTCACAGTCCACTGATGGAAATTTTTCATTTTGGCAAGGCAGCAGTCTTCAGGTTCAATTTACCAATGTTCTTAACCAAGGGCTTCCTCAGAGAAGTGAATTAGCCTGTTACTTAAGAAAGATAAATTACTAAAAAGGACAAGAAACTATTTCACTTTCAAAGGAAACTAATATAATAAGGACTCTAGGTTGAAAAAGAAGGAAAATTTTCCACACTTAGCAGTAAAGTTATAGTTTTTCAAGAAATATCAGGGGGTTTTGTCTTTTTGGATGACAGTTTCCCCTTTGAGGGTGGAGAAATGGAGAGGAAGAGTGAAGTTAACCAATTATGGTATTTTTTTAAATAATTTTTTTCCTCAGAAAGTAGCAGCTGAAGTGCCCATCATCTAGCCAACTGCTCCTTGGCCATTAATTTTACAACAGCTCTTTGAAAAAGATAAAACACCATGTAAATACTCGCTATGTTGACAATTTGTGTCATTGAATCAGCTACCAGAAATACTTATGAGGACAGCCATTCCAACAAATACACTTTTGTAACATGCTGGAAGTCCACAATTACTGTGAAATTGGACTGCCAACATCACAGCAAACAGTATTCTTGTTGGGTCATAATGCAGGTCTAAAAACTATTATTATTGCAAGATGTTTTGGGTTGCACACTGAGGCAGTAGATGAATACTCCAGCACACTCAGGCCACTCTAAAAAGCCAATTACTCTTAATAAAAAATAGTTACAGATAAATGGATCAATATTACTTTATGTTTTACAGTTTGCATAAGACACTGTACTTTAATCATTAGTGCAATAGATAAAGGGTACTGAATTACACTTTGCTGTTTTTAATTATCAAACATTAAACCTGAAGTTGTCTAGCAACTAATGATGAATTGGCCAAACAACTGACTAGTTCTTAATTTTCAAAGGGCACCTAATGTCATGTCTGTGATTTAAGATGCATGAATATTGCCAGATAAAATTTATCCCTACCATATTTATGACTATAATTAACTGAACTGTCAGACTAATTTATCCATAATGATTTCAAAACAGGACTTCTTAAAAAATAATTGGAAAACTACTAACAAAACACCATGTTATGGTCTTGCAAAACCAAAGTCTGTTAAAAAAAAAGTGTTTCCTTATGCACTGTAAAGATTCCATTTACTCCAGAAAGATACATGCTTAATAAAAGTAGATTACAATCCCTTTTATCTTTAAAATACACAAATCATCTTCCAAAGTGTAAGAGGGAAAGTTTTTTGCATATCTAGAAGATGAATGAAAGGGAGTATGGATTTAAAACTCTATAGGTTCAAATCTGTACTACTTAGAGAAAACATGCACTGTACTCAGACACCATAATGCAAAAAAAAAAAAAAAAAAAATTCCCAGAAAAAATATACAAGCTTGGTAATGATCAGCAAACTGAACTCAAAGAAGGTTGATTTCATATGATCCTGGTCATTAAGGAGAACAAAGAAAGTAAACAATTCTGGAGGAGGAAGAGTATGTAGGCTACTGGGAAAACTCTAATATCTTCACTGAAATGCGGCAGCATTTTAAATGTAAGCAAGTCCTTAGATAATGAAATAGAAATCTTATTCTTATTTTCACTAAGCCTTGTTCTATACCACAAACTTAATTTGGTATAGTTATTTCTCTTTGCAAGAGTAAATCCCCACCAATGGAGTAAAACTGAAACAGCAGCAATAGCAGACTGGTACTGATACAGGTTTATTAATAAAGTAGTAAAATCTCTTCAGTTCTACACAGGGATGTAACAGTATAGTTGATAAGCAAAAGCTTAGTCTATAAGAAGTGAAGTGCACGTTTGCAGTCTAGAGAGGCCCAAACAATGCTAGTGGACACTTTTATGCTACTGTGGAGGACCCCCAGAAGAAGGAAAATGAGAAAGATAAGTTTTGGCTTGAGTAGGATGAAAACACTGAGGCAGAGTTCTGCAAAATGCCTGGAAAACAAAAACAAAAAAACCCAAGAAGAAATGCTCCTGGCCACATCTGCAAATGCTGCTGGCTACATTATCTTGCAAGGATGAATACCCCATGCGAGTATAAACATTGTGATTTCTGCTGAGTTCCTATTTAATTGAATTTAGAATTATCTGCATTCTTATTTATTTGCACTATATATATTTGAATTAGGTGAAAAAAGCCAAGGGTGAAGTCAGAAGGTTTTTCCTAATCACATGCCCCTACCATAGGCATACATTCCATTCAATATTTCACCTGTCTCTAGTAGGAGTTTTCCTGTTTTCCACTGTTCCAAATCCCTTGTCATTGCCCTAGTTTGGGTCACCACCAAATCCATTTTTAAGCAGGAGCTTTTAATGTGTTCATCCTGCCTCATGGCCACTCTGTTTCTGCATAAAATGGCAGAAAAGCAAAGAAAAGTCCAGACTACAGTCTGAGTGGTAACTAGGGATGTTAGATATCGGTTATTTTAGTAATCATGTAAGTGGCAACAATTTTTAGCAGGTACTCAGTTACTAAAATGCTCCCTAGAGGCAGCTGGCAGCCAGTGTACTCCCTGCTCCACTCTTGGGGAGCCCTGTTACCCCATGCTGCTGCCTTTATCAGAGGCAGCAACATGGGACAGCAGTAGCCCTTGTCTTCAGCGCCCTCCCCCCCCAGCACCCTATGGACAGAGGCTGCTCTCGTAGAGACATCAGCATGGGGGGGGGGGGGGGGGGGAGGAAGAGCGACTACTCTGTAGCCAGTGGTTGGGGGAAACCATCTTTTAAGCTGGCTCCTGCCTCCTCCTGCCCCCCTTGCTTCCTCTGTGGGAGGTATGGATGTAAGCAACTAGTGACTAGACTAGTCACTTCCCCCCATTTTGCTGCCTCTATCAGAGAGGCAGAAATTGTCTAAAATTGTCAGGTTCTCACCCT